CTTCTTGTCGTACTCCCGCGGCAAGCCTAGTCGAATTTCGCTCTGATCCCCGCTGTCCGTTCGTGCGAGCGTACAGTCGCGTTTCTGCGTCCGCATTCGCCGCGTCGTTGCGTGTTTTCGATATATCGGCTATCGTCCGCAGCACCTGGCCTGGCCTGGCCGTGGATCAACGATAAGCGAGCAAATAACCGCCACGATCGCGAGGATTTACCATCGATAATTCACCAAGGTTCCACGAACAGCTCAGCACAAGATACCGTTTGTTCGGACGTGACACAGGCGTGTCCCTTTGTTTGACTTCGCGAAGTAAAACGGGAGAAACGGTGGACTCGTGAACTCCAGCAAATTCCAATTCGAAGGATCTCGGATTTCCTGTGAGAGATAGCGAGTCTAGTCAGCGAGTGTGTCAAGTCGGGTGAAAGTGAGATCGAGTGTTCTCAGATCGTGAGGTCGAGTTAGACACAGAGACTTCGACCGGAGTTCTGAGCAGATCGGACCTGCAGATCTTTTAGATCGATTCATCACGCTAGGAGGAACAGCTAGGAGTGTGATCTGGAAAAACAAGGATCATCGAGGTTAAGTTGTTTTCGTTGAGATCGAATCGCTCTGGGAAAACGCGTCCACGCGTTCGGTGCTCAACGTGTTCGCAGTGAAAAATTCGGAAGAAGTGGAAATAATTACGAGGCGGAGGGTGCACGATAGATTCGCGTTCCGGAGTTAAGCGGTGGTGGAATAATCGTAACTTAGGAGGGAAAGAAAGTGCGACGTAAAGAAGGGTGTAAAGTGGTGATAAATTCGAGCGAAGAGTGGCGGAGATTGTGAGCTGCAGGGCAAAGAAAGCCGGGAAATGAAGCAATGGAATAATATCGCGGCCAAGGAAAATGAAAGCTGGACGACCAACCTGAGTTCGTGAATTGAACGCGAGTCTTAAATTGAATAATTAACTCACACCCTTGTATAGTACTGTAAACGGTAATTGAATGAAATCGTGGCTGAAAAAGGCGGCGGGAACAGCGAATTAAACGAATAACATTCTTTGAGCAGGAATTTTGAAGGTGAATATAAATAAACACTGTTGTTAACAAGTACCACTATTCAAGAAAAATCAACAATACTCGGCTTGTACTCTAACACCACAAGGTTATCCAATCTTCAAAAATTCTCGTACTCCGGTAAAATTTTTGAAGGATTTCAAAGAAGAAAAGAAGCGGGAAATACAAAGCCAGGATCACAACTGTGAGATCGATCGCAATACTCGAAACTGATACACAACCCTATTTCAAAGAAGAAAAGAAGCGGGAAATACGACAGGATCACAACTGTGAGATCGATCGCAATACTCGAAACTGACAGGCTACCTTTCATTGACAGAGCTACGAGGAAGCTTAATAACTGAGAAGTGACGAAGGTCGAAGGTAAAGCTGTCTGAAACCAACGACTTCTGGACCACAAACGAGGACATTTTTCAGCGAAAGCTGCTAATTTCCAGCAATAACTCCTTTGTAATCGTCCAGTGTGCCTCTGGAGATTATCCGGATGCAGCTGCGTGCGTGCATCGCGTTGCATTATGCAACGGAAGCGACGATTTAATCGACCAGAGGCAGCTTATGCTGAATCGCTCGGAGATTACCGCTGGGACCGGTGAGTTGGACTCGGAGAAGAAGAGTGACGAGCAACGATATCGATCACGAGCACTTCAGGACAGGCGTTCAGCGGCCGTAACAATACCTTATTAATCCCATAGAGTCGCTGAAACGCGTCGAAAGTAAACGCAAACGCGACTAGACTATTCCATCCGAGTGTCTGTCCCCGTTTAGGCTCTATCGTTTATCACGTTTGCCTTAATTACTGCTTTCTCGGCCCTGCTGCCAGCTCCGACTAGCGCTTTGACATTTACAATCGCGATAAATACGAGCGAGCCATTCACGCAGCGCGACACTCGCCAAACGATCGAGGAGCGATCAAGATCAATGCGATTGACACGTCGTCTCCGTCACAACCTGATGTGACGATGCGATTACTGTCAATACGGCAGCGGATAGAGAGCTCCATGAAGAGAAGCGAATAAATCTGGAAGAAGGTGGAGGATATATAAAAATAGGAAAAGTGCACTGGATGGAATAATTCTGCGTAGAGCGTGGAATAAATTTCAGTCGTCGGTTCTGAGAAAATCCATGCGTCGACGAAGGGGATCAGACTCAAATGAGTCAAACTCTCCAACAATCGCCACGTAGTCCTCGAGCTTAGTGCTTCGGAGCTTAGAAGAACTCGGTAACCACTGTCCTGACTCTAATCGTTACTCGTGGTTCGTTGATTCTTCGATCGACCAATAGAGTTTGATACTTAGGGACAGCGAACAGCTGATGCCCACTGTTCACCAGGTACACAGTAACCTCGCGTGAACGTGTCAGTTTTGGGTGCGCTTGAATCTACCTGGAGACCTACTTAGAGACCTATCTGAATGAATATATCCAGTGTTCATTGAATAAAAAGATCCTGTCAATGAGAAAAGAAATTCCATCTTTGGCAATCGACTCGACTAGTCGACCCACAGTGATCATCCGCGAAGAAATACAGCGCGATCCTCGACTACCTGAAATGTTCAGTGAAATCAGTGAAAGTATTCGTCGATTGGTTTTAAGGCATTCGAAGTGCAATTCGTTCACGATGATAGTGGAAAGTCTGATCCTTTTATCGGTTCTGTCCGTGTCGGTCGGTGAGCCTTCATTCCAGAAATGTTGCCTACCTGGCCTAGTCTTCTCCGGAAGTTCAAAGTTCCACTGTGACGAGGAACCATCAGCCACGCAGCTTCTCTCCATCGATCTCAGTGACGATAATAGAACCTACGAAATTCCTAGCTGCGAGAAACCCGAACACATCGCCACGACGTTTCTTCGTGGGTTGAGTCCCACGGACTACCTGCAGGTAGGTCAGGGCAGACAGGTTTTGCAACGATGGTAAATTTTTTACCTGATACGAAGTCTTGATTGGTTGCTACCATTTTGCTTGGTGCCTTTCAGCTGTAACCTGTGATCAGCTGAAACGTACGGTTTCCTGTTCCGCTAATTCGATAATGGCGGAGGATCGGAGATTTATCGGCGAACGGAGTCGCGAGATGAGAAAGTCGCTCGTTGAAATGATTCACAGCACGTGTGAACGATTGTTTAATTGTTTGGATTCGAGTGGCTTGTTGGAAGACCGCGTGATATATTTGTTTGATTATTTCTTGGAAAACCTAGCTTCTCGGGTGTGGTAAAAAGTTCGATTTCGAGAGAAGACGCATCGTGAGAAAGATTATTCGATAATGAGATTGTGGACGAGGTCGGGAAGATCGTTTATCGAAGTATTTCTACGTCAAAGGTTTTTAGTAGATAGTCTTCTCCGACCTTTTTAAACACGTTTCGGATTATTATTGCTAGGAAGATGGCAGGAACATTGCGGTTAAAAGATTCGAGGTCGATGAACTTCTTTTGGTATCGCGAATTTCATGCTAAAAATTTTAATAGGTTTATTAGAAAAGAAAAAAGAAAGGAAAAGTAAAGGTTGATTATAATTTGGCTTTATGAAAAGAAGTACAGAAACTAATGACTGATAGAGGTAGGTTAGTTTTCAATATTATAAGAACCAATACCATGATGCAATAATAAAGTAAAATAGTATAGTAATAACCACATATAATAAATTATAAAAAATATAAGTATGGACAAAAATATAAGTACACAGATATATTAGTATAATTTCTAAATCATATATTATAGAGAATTGACCCTAGAAAACCTAAACTTTCTCATGAAAAGTTAACTGTGAAAAAATGTTAAAAAAATAAAAGTATGCTAGTACACAAATATATTAGTATATAATTTCTAAGTCATATACTATAGAGAATTGATCTTAAAAATCCTAAGCTTTCTCGTGAAAAGTTAAATGTGAAAAAATATTAAAAATATATAAGTATTGTAATACACAAATATATTAGTATAATTTCTAAGTTATATATTATAGAGAATTGATCCCAAAAATCCTAAACCTTTTCATCAAAGTGTAAAAATATTTAAAAAATAGCAGTTTACACTAAATTTTATAATCTTTGGACGTGTTAAATATTGTGAACCGTATATCATATATTACATAAAATAGAATATTGTTTCCTTGTGCGTAGTTTCGAGAACACATCCGTGAATAGCTTCTGTATTATGCTTCTCTCGAAATAAGATCAGCTAGAATCGTACTCAAATAATTAAATGAACCTTAAATCTTCCTCTATATTTACAGAAACCGTACTGTATCGAAATTCTGTACAATCAAACCACTCGCCAGAGTGAACCGACCCTCGTGCATTGTAAATCGAACGAAGACAGAGATCAAGTATTTTCGACCCACTCGCAAGCCCCGCCATTGCCGCAAATTTTTGATGTGCGAAGATGTTGCTCGAATGACACTGTTTTTAACGTGAAAACAGGAAGCTGTGATTCCATGTCGGACATTTCCGATGATTATTCGCAAGGCTCCGACATTTTGTCGTTATTACCGGAAGGATTGAGGGAATTCGATTTTCTGAACGTCCACAGAGGCACGCCAAGGTGTTCAGGAGCGATCTTCACTTATGAGGTCGAGGCAAAAGACATCACTTTCAAGAATGGCACTTTACAGGTGAGCACCTGCTTCAATTTGACGAGAAATTAAGGTAAATTCGCGACTTTCGATCCACGATTAACTCGAATATTTTTAAGTCTAAAATTTTTGGTTTCGCAAATTAGAGAATTTTTTTTTAATTCTTAAATTATAATTAATGGGGAATTAATGTTACGGGGAATGTTGAGAATCGATAGGTATTTCATAAGAATTTTCTTTTAACCTGCTTTACATTTTAATTAGCTTTTAAAGATAATTTAAAGCGAGAGATAATGGGAGACGAAGGTGAATTTTTCGTAGAAATTTTTTAAAATTCAACGCTGCTGGGTACTTACATACTCGTGGGTAGAAGAATTTAATCCGAGTTATGTAATTCATGACTTATGAAATATCGTTTGAGGAATTCCGAGTTTTACAAATTACGACAGACTGTCGTATTATACTAAAAAACAAGGAAGTATTCGTATGAAAAAATGATAAACGAGATTATTTGACACAATTTTAGATGAAAACGTGGAGCGGAAAATAATTTTCACGCGACGTAACAAATAAATCGAGCCAAATTTAACTTCAACGTATTTCAACGTGTTTCGAGGAAAACATAAAATCATTTCAACGTCTTGTTCATCTGTATAAAATTTTATATCACAAAAGTGACCTTCGCGATGTTTAATTTCAATAATTTTATGAGAAAAGGCACTTCTTCTTTTCCAATTAATTAAAAAAGTAATATCTTTGATCTGCTTTTGAAAGTCAAATGAAACTCTGACCGTGTCGAAGAAAAATTATTCGGAATTCCTGTTGCTGTAATCTTTGTCGTATTACAGAAATATCGAAAGCGAAAACAACCTTGATTCACAGTTTATCAACCGGCACCAGAGGAAACATTTCACGATGAAGGGCCACATACACTGTCGTTCCGCAACTTATCATCGATCACTCTAAATTACGGGCGCCGAGAAGAAATCTTTTCCCGTGCAATTCGAGAATTTATACCGTTCAGACTCGACAGAAGAAAAAAAGTGAAAAACTTAACGTCGTAGTTCTAGAGAGAATCTCCATCTTCCTTATTCCACGCGATTCGCAGTAAATTAAACTTAACCGGTTAAAATGGCACGAACCCGACTGAATTCGACGAGGTCAATTTCCATGCCGTCTTCAATTCTTAATTTCCCCGAAGATCCAGGTATTAACGAGGGATACTATGAAATTTCACCCAGCTAATTCGTTGAATGTCTTTCGCGTTCGTATTCCATCCCTGGAAAAAGTGTCATCAACTCCGCGAAGTGTGTCCGTTTACCCAGAAATCTGCATTAATTTTTCAAACATTCCATATTTCCTTACGCCTATGTAGTTCAGAGTTACAACCTGATTAAGATTATGTTATTTATGCAAATATTTGTTATTTGCATAACAGAGCCTTGTTTCTTTTACGTTACATATTTTCACGATTATGAGTCAGAACTATGGATATTTTGTTGTATCTAGGACTTCGCTGGCGGCCATCTTGTTCGTGCATAATTTGAACAAACGTTACTGTTAAAATTATAACGTTTTTAAATAATCTTTGATTACTTATTTTTGATCAAATCTTGACATGTGTCATAAAAATGCGAAGAATAAATAATCAGCCATTTTATATGTAGAAAATTTTCAGAAGTTGGCATAATTAGCGTTATTTTATTTCCAATGTTATAACAGAAATTTCCTTTCTATCTGGTTTCAAAAAATTTAGGATGATTCTTTTGCAATTTTGTTCATTATTACACAGAAATTACAGAAAATTTCCTGGACTCCATTTTAGACGTCCACTTACTTCGACTAACCTTAAAATTACTCTAGTTAGGCACAGTAATTGTTTATTACGAGGGTTTAGGAAGACAAATTTATTTTAAAAAGATACCAGGTATCTAAGATCGGAATACAGAAAGAGAATAATGGACGTTGGTTGTTGATTTACTTTATCGACGAACGATGACTTACAATTAGTTTATTTAGGATCCGATTGGATGTATCGATTTCGTTGCGTTTCCTTGCTGTTGTAAGATTTTCTTCAACTTATTCGATAGAACGATTCCGTTCTCGACTTTTTGCGTTGCTTACCATTTTATTCCTTGTCACAACTTCTAACAATGGAGGTCGGCGGGGAAATAAATTGGTCGGAGGATCTTGGGAATTGGCGGGGGGAAAAGCCATTTTGTTACGCGAAGAGAAACAAACCCCGTGGATGGCCAGCTATATACTTTACTGAGTGCATGTTTATTTACGTGACGTATCTTCTCGTTTAACTACGTCGGCTTTTGCTACATTTATTTCAATCCCATCCCATTTACAAAGATACCGCTATCAGCTATGGGCGTGTCAATTTCGATATTCCTATCTGTCCTGCGTCGTTGCTCGCCGCGACGTAATATCGCTTAGAGCTCGTCTGATAATACAATTAATTTCTTCTGTTGATTCGATTAATGTCCTTTCTATTTACATTCCTTCCAATACACACCAGCGACCCGGGGATATTTATTTCGATCGTTTAACAAGTGACACTTGGGTAAACATTAGCACCATTCTTCTCTTTTGGCAGACGCGGAGAAAAACTCTTCTGAGAATCACATAATCGCATTATCGAATGTTCTACGAAGCTGAAAGAAGCCGGGTAAATATCCAGTTTAATGGCTTTGCCCTAAACGCGTTTTTTATTCCGGTTTTTTCACAAAAAGCTTTATTTATGCTTCAATAAGAAATATAGATCGGGGGAGCTTGAAAAAGTTACTAGTTTCTTTTGACAAATAACATAAAATTGCTAAAAACTGCCGAATACGTGAGTCGATCTCTAAGATTTTTGAACATGTTGTAGAGGACGAGGTTCTGAACACCTTTTATCTGAACAATAATTACAGCTTGGCCTTAATTTCCGAGATATTTGCAAAAATTGTTCACACCACCGCATTGACTCCGTCTGTACGTGTGCCGTGGACGTGTCAGATCGGTATCAATGGATCACCACGTATTTACAATTCCAAAGGATGGACCCACGTATTCTGCAGTTTTTAACAATTTTATGTTTTTTGTCAAAAACTAGTAAAAGCACATTACTTTTTCAAGCTCCCTCAATCTAAAAGACGCGTTTAGAGCAAAGCCACTAAACTGCATATTTACCAGAAGCCGATCTGCAAGGCGTATCAACAAAAACAAACAAGATCGGCGATAAGGAAAAAATTTTATTCCGAACATCACGTAATTTGAAGAATATGTAAGTACGTATTACGTATTAATTTGAGTTTTAAAGGGATATTGATAGAAATTTCTTTTTACTCGTCAAAATGGGTTTATTTATTTAACTATTTGGCAACTAAATTAAATTGCCCGGCTTTAAATTAGTAGAAAAGGAGGTAGAAAGAAACAAGTATTTTAAGAAAAGGATGCGAATAGCGGAACAGCAGGTTCCATAATCGCTGTCCTATCCTTTTCCTCCTTTTTAGCTGCTTGGTGACCGAAATATAAACGAAACGGGAAACGCTGACAACCGAACACCGTGTGTTTTCCATACCAGAGTTAAAATTCTTGTTCGCCTGCGTAGAAGTGCCGGGGAAAACTAAGCTTTCCTAGAAACTGTTATATATTTAACGGACGAGAAAGGATCGCGCGGGAAATGGGAATATTTTGGGCGAAACGACGCGCGAGTTCGATATCGTCTACGATATGCCCCCGATTTTGTTACCATTATTTCCATTACTTCAACTCGACGCTATTTTAAGGAAAAAGTAAACGAAAAATGCTGAGAAAAATCTCGTCGTTGCAGGAAGGATAATATCGACCTTATCCGTTTTCTCTCACGCGAAGACGGGATCCGGATGACAATGTTTACATTTTTTCGGTTAAATTCGTGGAAATAACGAATTGCGAATAAAAAAGGATCAATGTATGCTCGTGTTAACCCTTTGCACTCGAGAGGCAAGCCTCAGTCGAGATTTAATCAAGCTCCAAAATAACGCAACTTATATTTCCACGGTATGGAATATCGAAGTAAAATAATTCTACGTGTAAATTTGTACATTTCTTATTTACTCTTTTAAAAATATCGTCGACTTTATAGCAGAAAGTCTTCGAATCCTTTTGTAACGAAAAAATCGCCGAGTGTAAAGGGTTAAAATTCCTTTTTCCCAGGATATTCTCTTTTGGCCATTCGATTCTTCTATTCCAAGTTTGATTGTCGTAAAGATATCAATATAAAAATTTTCATTAAAAATACGTGTGTAAATCTGAGAAAATTTATATGATTAACATCTCGAGACCAGTGAGTTTTAGGTTAAAAGTAGATCTATACTTTTATATGAGCCGTTCACTGCACAAATTGATTAACTCCATAAAACAGAAAGTGGAGAAATGCAGTGAAATAATGTCTATTGTTTTTTAAAATTCTCTTTATAATTTAAATCGAAATAAATATTGTAGAATCCATAAATACAAATGTAACTTTCATCTAACGGTATATAAAATTTATAAGAAGAAATAGCCAAAAGGTAATCGTTAGTAATGTTACCATTTTTATGTTACTGGAAGAGTTAATCGATTTGGCAAGTGGAAAAAGTAATAAATTTAAATTTTACTAAATTTTACTTAAATTCTGATAGGACGGCACTAAAAAATTCATCGTTATCATTCACGGCTTGCTAGCGCATTTGAGTTGCATTATTGCAACGATTTGCATTAGAGTACGGAGGTGATCAAAGTGACCTCTGAAATAAATTATTTATTATTTAGTGGCCAAAAATTTTTGTCGTTTAATGGTGTTAATCTTAAATATCAGGGAAAGTTATTATAAATATAAAAAGTTATGACTATACCAAGTGTTTTGACACTTAAATTTAAGATTTTTCAAAAAGTGGAGTTAATCGATTTGTGCAGTGAACGGCTCATGTCCTACTTAGAATTTGTTTTTCCATAGAATTTAAGCACGCACGATTATCATACGTAGCTTTAATTTAAAGAAGCGAGACTAAATTAAGAGATTACGTCTT